TTTTTTAGTTTGACCAGAGAGAGACAGAGGGTGAGAGTGAGAGAGAGAGAGGAAGTGAGAAAGCAAGCCACCAGATTCAGGACTTGAACCCTGGTCAGCCATGTGGGAGTGTCCAGCGCCCTAACCACCACGCCATCTGCTGGTCCCCTGTAAGAGAAAACTTTCTATGAGTTATGTAGGGTTTTGAATTTACAAGACTTAAAATAGGGATTTTTTTGCCTTCCATTGACAGTAAAGTTGTCATGGCTATACGATTTGAGCTAAAAAAAAAAAATTGTAGATTTTGTATTACTTTGCCAAAACTGCTCAAAAAAGAGAAAGAGATACCTTGACAACTTATAAGTGAACCAGAAAACTTGAGAGAGCTGGGCTTCCATCCGGAGCACCATTCACCGAAGGAGACCTCTGACAGTGCCAGCGGGAAGTCTAGTGGATCCTTTCACCTGGCTTGCCTCGCGCACTTTCTCCTCTCGGGATCTTGGGCATGCACACACATGCTCCTAGCGTGAGTTTAAGCCACTGGATCTGGGACTCGAACCGTGATCAACTAATTGGGAGTCCAGTGACATAGCCATTACACCTAGTGCTGGTTTTAAATGAGTTTAAGCCACTGGGTCTAGGACTCAAACTGTGGTCGGCTACATGGGAGTCGAGTGACATAACCTCTACATCATCTTCTGGTCCCAGAATTTAAGTTTTTAAGTTTATACATTTATTTCTTCCATATGGGGGAGAGAGAGAGAGAGAGAGAGAGAGAGAGCGAGCGAGAGCGAGCGAGCGTGCGCAACAGGGTCCCTGTGCAGCAGCTGGCTCCCAGCCTTAGCTGGCCTAGAACACGGGCTTGCATGCAATGCCTGGCATTTTCAGGGCAGTCCCAGGGACCTGAGTTCAGGAGCTTCCATACGTGGGTTCAGTGACATTGCTTCCACTGCATTGCTTCGTGCCGCCACCTGGCCCCTGAATGGTGTTTCTTATACCTTTTGGGGGAAGCAGTTTCACGTACAGGTCCTCGAGACGGGCCGTGGAAGGTCTGCGTGCTCACTGCTGTCAGTTACACTGGGCGGCAGTTGAAGAAAGGGGCACTGCAGGAGAGAGCCTCATCCTTGGACCTTGTCTCAGGGGTGGGAGAGATGAGGAAGGACGGGGAGTAGAGGGTTCATCGTAGGCCTCATAAATGTGACCAGAGGAAGCTTAACTTCCAGCAGAAGTTACAAGAGAGGAAATTGAATTTTGCGTTGTATGCAGTAAGATTCTATTTTAGGATCTCCAAATAGCATCCCGTGGCATGACCAGCATTCCATGAAAATGGCAATTGTGGACTACATTAGTAGCATATTAAGCTCTGAATTATAATTTATGCTTTTATTATAGAAAATAAAGAAGGTGGTGTATTTCAGGAATGTGTATTTGAAAACATGTGCTGCCTGGAATTTAGAAAGCTGGGGACCAAGAAGGGGCTTAGGCATGGCTCCTGGTTAAGAAGGCCTTCTTGTTTTTCTTTCAAGTCTTCCTATAGGGTGGATGTTCTGGCCAGAGAAAGACAGAGAGAGAGAGAGATGGAGGAAGACTGAGAAATCACCCCTCCCAGGAGGGATGGCCATGCTGCAGTCTCTTCTCCTCCAGTCTTGTTGGGATTTGGGGCATGCATGCACACGCACTTTATGATGTTCAAGATCCAGCATCTGGGACTCAGATGGTGCAGTTGGCCAAGGAGGATCCAAGAAGGCCTTTTTAAAAAAATTGTTAAAAATAATTATTTATTTTATTTATTCATTCATTTATTTTTTAGTTTGACCAGAGAGAGACAGAGGGTGAGAGTGAGAGAGAGAGAGGAAGTGAGAAAGCAAGCCACCAGATTCAGGACTTGAACCCTGGTCAGCCATGTGGGAGTGTCCAGCGCCCTAACCACCACGCCATCTGCTGGTCCCCTGTAAGAGAAAACTTTCTATGAGTTATGTAGGGTTTTGAATTTACAAGACTTAAAATAGGGATTTTTTTGCCTTCCATTGACAGTAAAGTTGTCATGGCTATACGATTTGAGCTAAAAAAAAAAAATTGTAGATTTTGTCTTACTTTGCCAAAACTGCTCAAAAAAGAGAAAGAGATACCTTGACAACTTATAAGTGAACCAGAAAACTTGAGAGAGCTGGGCTTCCATCCGGAGCACCATTCACCGAAGGAGACCTCTGACAGTGCCAGCGGGAAGTCTAGTGGATCCTTTCACCTGGCTTGCCTCGCGCACTTAATCCCATTAGGTCAGCTGGATGTAGGCCCAGAGAGGAGGCACTGAACCTGTCACATCAACCAATTTGGCTTGCTCTGTGACTTTAATAATGTCCTGTAATGAGTGCGAGTCAGGTCTGTGTTACACCCTCAGAGGTATTCGAGGTGTACCAGGAACCACGGGGTCTGGCTAGGGCAGACTGTGCCAGGAGTCATGTGGGCCGGTTTTGGTATACCAGGAACCATGCAGACCTGTCTTGGGTGGGGTGTTCCAGGGACCACGTGGGCCTGTCTTAGGCAGGGCGTACCAGGAGCAAGCAGGCCTGCTGGAGTGCTGTTAGGGTCAGTGTAGCAAAGTCTGTCCAGTCGAACCTGGTTCCGAGGCACCAGTGTGAGCGCTCTTGCTTGGAGAGTATCTGGATGGGCACTTGCACAACTCACCGAGGCGGGGGGGGGTGCCCACCACCAACAGCAAGCACCTCAGAAACAAAGGACACAGCAGCAACTGTGGAGATTTCCTGTTTCTCAAGGAAGAAGTAGCTAAAAAGAAGATTATGTGTTGTAACAATCCTGGGATACTTAACCCAACACGCAAAATAGTGTTATTTCTCTAACTTATACATCTTGATATCTAAGATACATTAACAGTTAAGTACTGGATTCCTTCCCAGATAACAGAATGACCTAAATAGCAGGGGACAATGACCACTTATCGGGTATGTATTACATAGTGCCAGACACACACGCTAGGAAGTCCTTTATCGTCTTGTCTAGTCCATACCAACACCCGCTAGGGCACAGATAGCATTGTTTCCCAGTTACAGAGAAGAACACGAGGCTCATCAAATTAGCGGCTTACAGTGTCAGAGTGTGTCGCGGGCAGGCAGGAGGCTGTCTCTGCAGTGGGTGAGATCTACTCAAACCTTGGGAGAGGTGAAGATTCTTTACAAAGGTGACTATTTCTTGGAGTCACTGTAGATCAGAAACAGCGTCCACCGTGGACTTTCATATGTTAAAAGCCATTGGTAAAAAGTTAAGCAGCTAAGCTGGCCCCATAGTCCTAATGGTTAAGGGAGCCAGGTCCCACATGGCTGATCATGGGGTTCAAATTCAGGCCCTGATAGCTTGAAAACACACTAGGTAAAGGGGAGGGGTCTAACATTTTCAAAAACTTACCCAGGAGCGTGACTGTATTACAGAAGTCTAGCATGGCAGAAAATGATCCGTTTTCTAAATGAGGCAGTGAGGTTTGTTTAGAGCCATCCAGCTAGAAAAACAGCCGAGTCCTCCAGCGCTTCTGCCCCTTCCGCTATTCCTCACTAGCTTTTTTTGGTTTTTGGAGAGGTTTTTGCTATAGGGCGCGTGCGCTCGCCAGACAGAGAGAAACGTAGAGACAGAAAGCGAGAAATCACCCCCAGGGGGGATGGTCACGCCGCAATCCCTTCTCCTCCATTCTCCTCTCGGGATCTTGGGCACGCACGCACACGGGCTCAGCGTGAGTTTTGAGCCACTGGATCCGGGATACAAACCGTGGTCGACTACATGGAAGTCCAGTGACATAGCCATTACGCTAACTGCTGGTCCCAAGCCCTCTCATTTTTAAAAGTTACTCCCCATTTGCGGAATCACCAAAGACTTCTCTCCCCCTCTTAAATCTTGAAGGACTAGCACTGGGGAGAGGCTCTGCTGGTTTCTCCTGCCCGCCTGCCCTGCCACACTTCCGCCTTTGAATGCTCTCTCTTGCCTTAATTCACTTCACTACAGCTGGACGTCAGTGGTCCAGTCCCACCCCAGGTGTTGGCACCACTGCCACTGCCATTGCAAAAAGTGGCATGAGTGAACCGGAAGGGCTTCTAACTTCAGGGTAAAACTGGAACTGACACGATCTCTTCATGAAGAGGAACCTTAACCAACATGGCTGAACTCAGACACGTTTCTTTTGCCCTGCTGGAGTCTCTAAACTCACACTGGGCAGCTTCTGTCCACACTGGCTGCCCCCCTGAGATTCCTCTCCAGGTGCCAGCCCCACCACGACACAGAGAAGTCCAGTTGCCTGGGACTTGGGCAGGGATCCGTACTGTAGAATGATTCAAGCATTTCTCAGCCACTTGCCAGTGGTGTGAGGCTGCTCACGCCACCTTGCCTCTCTGACTCAGTCCTTATTCTGGAAAAGGGGGGTACGAATACCACCTTTTAGGAATTAGCTGCCCAGCCTGGTAGTTAACAGAGAACACAGCGTGTGCGCTTGGTGAGAGATTGTGAGTACCACATTTTAACTCCTGTGCAGCACTTGGGGGCTGGGGTGCAGAGCAGGGGCTGGAGGTGCCTCGGTAATCCCACCTGTGACATCGACCTGGTTTCCCCTTTGTTTGCAGGCACTGCGCTCTATAGACGTGACCTGTCCGTGGGCTCTCCCCAGTGGTGGCCATGGAGTGGCCTGCCCTGCCCCTGACAGAAGCCGCCTTTGCAGCCAGCGCAGGGAGCTCCTCAAAGCTCCACCCATTGCTCATGCCATTTTGTCCTTTCCAACAGGAAGCGTCTCGGACAGCCCTGCTGAGCTCTTTGAAGTCCCTGACACGTGGTAACCGAGTCCTGAGGGGAGCAAACCGCGGGTGCCGTCGCCGAGGAAGGGCCGCCGGCATGTTTGGAAGCCATACTGTGTTAACTAAATTCCGAAATGGGCAGGAGAGGCCTCGAGGCCAAGTATGTCTCCTGAGAAGACAGTTTTTATTTTTGTGGCTGATTTTCCCCCTTTTTAATCTACTCTGTCTGTGGACACCCACCACGGTCGTAGGCTGCCATGAACGTGCCATTGTCAACCAGGTGTCATTCGTTGCTCGTGTGGAACCTTCCTGTCCTGAACTAAGAACCCTCCTGTGGGGAATGTCAGCTGAGAAATAGCAGAAAGAGCTGACATTGTGGGTGCTGTGATCCGGAATCTGGGATGGAGCGCTCCTGCCTGGGGGGTTCTTGTCTGCCTTCTCTCTCGTGCTCAGAGTTTGGGACAGTTGGGGAAGGTAGTTCCTGTCTCCTGCTTCCCACCGTAGCTGCCTAAAAGTGCCACGCTCACAAGCTTGTTTTTCCAGTCAGAAGATGTCTAAGATGTCTGCCGACATCAACCCATGAAGGAGCTTCGCTCTGCTTCGGCCTTTGGGCGTATTTAGTTAGTTTCCTGAGTTTCTCGTGAGGACAGCTGCATAAAACAGCGACTTCTGTTCTTTCATGCAGTGCTCTGCACTTCCCACTGTCTCCGTACTGTAGAATGATTCAAGCATTTCTCAGCCACTTGCCAGTGGTGTGAGGCTGCTCACGCCACCTTGCCTCTCTGACTCAGTCCTTATTCTGGAAAAGGGGGGTACGAATACCACCTTTTAGGAATTAGCTGCCCAGCCTGGTAGTTAACAGAGAACACAGCGTGTGCGCTTGGTGAGAGATTGTGAGTACCACATTTTAACTCCTGTGCAGCACTTGGGGGCTGGGGTGCAGAGCAGGGGCTGGAGGTGCCTCGGTAATCCCACCTGTGACATCGACCTGGTTTCCCCTTTGTTTGCAGGCACTGCGCTCTATAGACGTGACCTGTCCGTGGGCTCTCCCCAGTGGTGGCCATGGAGTGGCCTGCCCTGCCCCTGACAGAAGCCGCCTTTGCAGCCAGCGCAGGGAGCTCCTCAAAGCTCCACCCATTGCTCATGCCATTTTGTCCTTTCCAACAGGAAGCGTCTCGGACAGCCCTGCTGAGCTCTTTGAAGTCCCTGACACGTGGTAACCGAGTCCTGAGGGGAGCAAACCGCGGGTGCCGTCGCCGAGGAAGGGCCGCCGGCATGTTTGGAAGCCATACTGTGTTAACTAAATTCCGAAATGGGCAGGAGAGGCCTCGAGGCCAAGTATGTCTCCTGAGAAGACAGTTTTTATTTTTGTGGCTGATTTTCCCCCTTTTTAATCTACTCTGTCTGTGGACACCCACCACGGTCGTAGGCTGCCATGAACGTGCCATTGTCAACCAGGTGTCATTCGTTGCTCGTGTGGAACCTTCCTGTCCTGAACTAAGAACCCTCCTGTGGGGAATGTCAGCTGAGAAATAGCAGAAAGAGCTGACATTGTGGGTGCTGTGATCCGGAATCTGGGATGGAGCGCTCCTGCCTGGGGGGTTCTTGTCTGCCTTCTCTCTCGTGCTCAGAGTTTGGGACAGTTGGGGAAGGTAGTTCCTGTCTCCTGCTTCCCACCGTAGCTGCCTAAAAGTGCCACGCTCACAAGCTTGTTTTTCCAGTCAGAAGATGTCTAAGATGTCTGCCGACATCAACCCATGAAGGAGCTTCGCTCTGCTTCGGCCTTTGGGCGTATTTAGTTAGTTTCCTGAGTTTCTCGTGAGGACAGCTGCATAAAACAGCGACTTCTGTTCTTTCATGCAGTGCTCTGCACTTCCCACTGTCTCGGCCTGGTGGTCTTTTCCATTTTTGTTTGTTCGTTTGTTGGGTGGGTGGCAGTCGGGTAAGGTGGCATGTGCGTATATGTGTGTATGTGTGTTTGTGTCTGTGCGTGAGAGAGAAGTCATGGCAGATCTGCCTTACATACCAGCTCCTCCTCTGTTGAAACACATCATACAGCACAGAGTTCACGGATCTGCTCGAGCAGATCTGCTTCAGAGAGATCATTGTGAGATATTTAACATTTTTGTATCGTGGAAATAAAAATGAAAAATGTATTTCCAAAAGATGAAAATTAAAGAAATTTTCATAGGACTCTGTTTCCTTTCTTTATTTTTAAGTTTTCCAGGGCTCACGGGGTTGGGTAGAGAAAGAAAGAACAAAAACGCCCCCACGGGGAATGGTCACACCGCAGTCCCTTCCTTCTCCATCTCTCCCTTCCCTCAGGGTTTTGAGCTTGCATACACACATGCCCAGCATGTCCCCTAAGCCCCCAGGTCCAGGTCTCAGACATTGCAGTCGGCCATCTAGGATGCAGCCACCCTAACCAGCATGCCACCTGCCGGCCCACCTTTCTCTTTCTTTATAAGCAAGTGACGTATCCGCTCTCCTGTAGGCACATTTCTCCTCCCCGAGAAGGTCGAGTTAAGTCAGTACGCCTACTCCTCATGGATTTTTTTCCTCCCCTTTTTTTACTTTACCTCCTGTGCCTGCCTTAATGGATCAGAGACCCAGTGCTGGAGCTGAACCTGATCTTGAATGGCCATATGGGAGGTGGGAGGAATCTAAGCTCAGAAAACGCACATGGGAATTCCACGGTGGTAAGCAGCTTCAGGCTCGTCAGACACTTCTCCAGTCAAGAGCCTCTTTACTAACCCCCGCCCCCTCCCCAAGAGTTCTATAGCCAGAGTCAGAAAACCAGACCTGGCAGGAAGGAGCCCCGCCCCGACCTCCAGCTGTCACTCTCAACAGCTCCATAGGACAGCGCTGGCAGGATGACAAGTGGCAGAGGAAGATAGAGGCAGGGAGGTTTCAATGGGGCTGCCAGGCCGCCGGGGCATTATAGCTGCCAGGTAGAAACAGGTAGTGCCTGGCAAATAGAAGTGATGTCTTGTTAATAGAAAAAGAGCAGTCCACTCCGAGTGGCACAATCCGCAGGCTGGAGGCCATATTGCTGACACAGGGTTAGTTACCCAGGTGGGCCCACATGTTGGAGCCCAAGATCAGGAGCTGGAAGGCTGCGGAAAGGGGATTGCAGTGTGATAAGACCCTGTCAAGTGTGCTTCTCTCTGAACCCACCTCCTGCCCCAGCCAGCCCGGGATCATGGGCACGTCCACACATCCTAGGGAAGTTTTTGGACATGACCCGAGGACCCTCCTGTGTGGGTCAGCCATGTAGAGCGTCACATTTTACTGCTGTGCCACTGTCCAGCCTCCATTTTTATACCTTGGCATCTGCCCAGTGTCCTGCCTAACATTTTATTACGATAATCTTCAGACATACAGAGACATTGGAAGAATTGTTCAGTACACACCCATTTACTCTCCACCTGGCTTGTGCAGCTACCATTTTGCTGTATTTGGTCTGCTCAGCCGTCCCGCTAACTATCCCTCACTTCCTCTTATTTTCTGATGTATTTCTTTTTTTTCCAGGATATTTCATCTTTATTATGATTTATCTCATACTAATTTTTTATTTTGTTCCCAAATTTTACTGTAGTTCAATTTTTTTCATTTATTTATTTTTACATTTTTCTACAAACATTTACATATCAAAAAATTTTTGCTTATACTCCATAGTTCTTGACTGTTAATAACTTTCAAGATTTCAGAAAACTGAATTTTAAAGAGTATTAGAAATATTTGTTATAATGTTGTTTGTGACTTTATAATAACAGAGACAGTATGGTTTTAAATATTTTTGAGAAAATACTTACATGTCAGCTACTCAAATTGTTCAAAAGCAAACACCCAACACACAATTCACACATACACCTTCTCAGTTCAGCCCCGACTACCAGGTATTCTGTGATATACCATCTGCTAGGAAAGATCAGCCTCTTCCATATTTTTGAGAAAATACTTACATGTCAGCTACTCAAATTGTTCAAAAGCAAACACCCAACACACAATTCACACATACACCTTCTCAGTTCAGCCCCGACTACCAGGTATTCTGTGATATACCATCTGCTAGGAAAGATCAGCCTCTTCCTCCTTCAGAGTCTTCCTCAAGGTAATCCTCTGGTTGTGGCTGCTCTTTTGCAATCTCTACTGATTATAATGCTGGGCTGGAAAAGTCCAGGTTATTTCATGGTACAAATTCTTTCATATATCTTCTCTAATCCTCTCTGCCAGGCAGAACTGTTTATGGTGCCAGGCCATCTTTCCAAGAGCTTCTGCTGGCTTACTTGAGATCCACCTTAGTTCCATAGTTTTCTGGTTTGAGCTTTAGATACGACATTCCAGTCAAAGGCCTGTCCAATAACCAGTGTTTCTAATTTCTGATTCAATGCAACAGGTATTATTGAACCCATGCAAATAACCATTCTGCCACAAAACAAGAATACTCCCAAATATTTTCCAATTGCAGAGGGGCCAGAAAGGAAGAAAAGTTAATGTTTTCATTTAAAAAAACGAGAAAGACATTTTAACAAATTGCTAAACCTATCAACAATTTTAAAGAAAGCAAAACCCATAAATTGGGAAAACGAAGCATAGCGAAGAAAAAATCCGTATTATTTCACTCAAAAGACATAAAATTCTATTTCACCAGTTCAGTCGTACATACTTAATCTCTCTGCTGTTGAATTTGCAGCATTACTGTGGTCCTATCTTTCCGTTTAAATCCTGGAAGTTAACATTCAACATTATTATTGGTATTTCTTGTACCTAGCATTAAGTTGGTCATTTTCTTATTTCTGTAGGTGTGTCGTGAGTTTTCCTGGTAAAGCACTCCTTTCAGAACTTCTCGAAGAGCTGGTCTGGTGTTGGTAAACTCATTCAGGTGTTGTTTATCTGAGAATGTTTTTTATCTTTTCTTCCCATACGAAGGATAATCTTGCCAGGTACAGTATTCTTGGTTGAAACTGTTCTTCACTTAACACTTTGAATGTATTTACTCAAATGTATTTCCTTGCTCGCATTGTTTCTGTTGAGAGGTCTGATGTTAGCTTGATG